ATCATCGTCATCATCATCGCCACCATCAGCATCACCGTCCTCATCATTTGTCACCATCGTCATCCTCGTCGTCGTCGTCACCACCATCCACGACCATCGCCACCCTCATCTTCGTCCGCGTTCTCGTTGCCAGAGTCGTCGCCACTGACGACGTCACTCGTATTATCGTTGCTGCCGTCGCCATAGGCATCTATGTCGCTGTCATCGTAATTCGCGTCAGAAGCGCAATCGTCATCACCGCCGCCATCATCATCATCATCATCATCATCATCATCATCATCATCATCATCATCATCATCAACAGCAACAGCATCATCATCATCAGATCCTTCATCATCACCGCCATCATGATCGTCGTCATCGTCAGCATCGTCATCGTCGTCGTCACCGTCCTCCCATCAGCCACGTGCGTCCTGAGGCTGCTCGCGCAGGGGCGAGACCTTCTCAGGACGCTTGCGTATCGTTTTGCTGTCGCTGCTGCCGTTGCCACCGACAGTCCGCCGGGCGCCTACGATCATCCTCCTCCATCTCAGCATCCCGATCACCTGACTCATTGCCATCGTCATGGTACTCATCCTTCACTTCCATGTCATCGCTATCGTCCTGAGCGTCGCCGTCGTTTCGTTATTGTCATCACCCAACATCCTGATTTTCCCCACCATCATTTCTATCAACACCATCGCCTCTGCCATCGCCATCATCATTATCGCATCATCATAACCACTGTCATTAGCACCACCAGCGCTACTATCACCGCTGCCATTCAATTGACATTAACGTCGCCGTCACCATCATGTTCCCATCCGCATCATCAGCATCGGCACGGGCATCAACATCACCATCATCATCATCATCATCATCATCACCATCATCATGATCATCGCCGTCGTCACCATCATCGTCATCAACATCATCATCATCATCATATTTATTTTGCCCAGCGTCATCCGTCCTCCTCGCCCAACCTTTCCCCCTCCCCCTCCCCGTCCTTCCTCTTCGCCTTATCCTGTTTCCCTTCCCTCTTCCCTGCACCCTTGAAGCGAGCCATGTGCCAGAGGATTCCAATGCCGATCCAAAACATCCGCGCGGACCTTTTGTCAGCGCCGCCGCAATGGGTACTCACTAACTGGTACAGTGGAAACCCGCCGAAACTTGCCACGTGTTGGCCTCTGCGAAGTACCCATTAGTGAAGTCCCCGTCAGGGGCGCGCCGATCCCAACAGTCCGCGCGAACCTCCGAAGATTCAGTCCATGCCGTTGTTCGTTGTTCTACTTCCCGTTTCCGTCGTCGTCCCTTTCCCAGGCGGCGCCGTTGGTATTTTTGAGCGAGTCGTTAAGCCATGTCGCGAAGATTGACACGGACGGGTTTCTGGCGGCCATTGCGACGGTGCCCGTATCGGGAGGGCTTGGGTTCACCGCGCCGCTTGCCAAAGTGCCCGTTGGTGGAGTCCCCGTCAACGGGGCGCCGATCCCAAAACTCGAAGATGCTTGCTCCTCTATGTTCGGCGTCCGTTATCGCCGTCTCCTTCCTCGGTGATGGCGAAACACATTAGGATGAGGAGGAGGAGGAGGAGCAGGGAAAAGGAGGAGGAGCAGTAGGAAAAGGAGGAGGAGGAGAAGGAGGAGGAGGAGGACGAGGAAGAGGAGGAGGACGAGTCGGAGGAGAGGGAGGGGGAGGAGGAGGAGAGGGGGGAGGAGGAAGAGGAGGAACAGGAGGAAGAGGAGGACGAGGACGAGGAGGAGGAGGAATAGGATAATGAATATGGAGGAGGTGGAGGAGGACGAGGTGGAGGAGGAGGAGGACGAGGAGAATGAATATGAGGAGGAGGGAAAGGAGGAAAAGGAAGAGGAGGAGGAGGAGGAGAAGGAGGAGAGGAGAGGATCAAGGAGGAGGGGAACGAGGAGGAGGAAGAGGAGTCGGAGGAGGTGGACAGAGGAGGAGGAGGAAGAGGAGGAGGAGGAAGAGGAGGAGGAGGAGGTGGAAGAGGAGGAGGAGGAGGAGGACGGGGAGGAGGAGGAGGAGGAAGAGGAGGAAAGGGAGGGGGAGAAGGAGGAGGAAGGAGAAGAAGATGTGGTGCTTGTGTAGATGGGAGGAGGAGGAGGAGGAGGAGGAGGATAAGGAGGAGGAGGAGCAGGAGGAGGAGGAGGAGGAAGAGGAGGAAGAGGAGGAGGAGAAGGAAGATGAGAAGGAGGAGGAGGAGAAGGAAAAGGGGGATAGGACAATGAGGTGGAGGAGGAGATGGGAGGAGACGAAGGGGGTCGACGGAGTAGGAGGAGGAAGAGGAGGAGGAGGAGAAGGAGGAGGAGGGGAACGAGGAGGAGGATAAGGGGGACGAGGAGGAGGAGGAGGAGGAGGAAGAGGAGACGAAAGGAGGTGGACGGAGGAGGAGGATGTGGAAGAGGAAGAGGAGGAGGAGGTGGAGGAGGAGCAGGAGCATGAGCATGAGGAGGAGGAGGAGGAGGAGGAGGAGGAAGAGGAGGATGAGGTGGAAGGGAGGACGAGGAGGAGGAGGGAGGAGGGGAGGAGGAGGAGGAGGAGGAGGAGGAGGAGGGGAGGAGGAGGGGGAGGAGGAGGAGGAGGAGGAGGAGGAGGAGGAGGAGGAGGAGGAGGAAGAGGAGGAGGATGAGTCCTCCTTCAGGAACGCCTGCTCGTCGGCGGCTGCTCCCAGGGGTGCGCGGCCGCTTTCGACGCCGCGCTGAGGTACCGCCACCGGCTGTGCGCGTTTGTGGGCGTGGTGGGGCACCCCCTCTCCACGACTCCGTTGGAGACGGGGCCAGCGGCAACGTCAGCCGGCGGCGCGCCCAGGGGGGATGGCAGAGTGGGTGGGCTTTCTCAGAAAACTCAGAAGGCCTCCGGCCTTCTGAGAAACTTTTCTCCAGAGACACAATGATCGGATGCGGCCAGTCGAGACAACGGCAGCGGCTTTCCCGCCAGGCCCAAATCCGCCAAACACCGGTTCCCAGATCCCCGGCTGGGACCCTCAAGCGAAGCCAGGCGCGGCGACGAGAAGCCAGCACGACCCATGAGGTTTGAAGAGGATCAAACACGCTACGTGAGGGTAGGGCCGCCGCTGTATCGATTGTCTCTCCTCCGAAGAGGGCTTCCAGGAAGCCCAGCCGTGAAGGTCCGCTTTCTCACTTCCCCCCCGTGCTCGCCGCCGAGGATCGATTATCGTGAGGAACGACACAGCGAGGGAGAGAGAGAGAGAGAGACAAATACCAAATAACGAGAGAGAGAGACAGAGAGAGAAAGAGAAAGAGAGAGAGAGAGAGACAGAAAGAGTGAGAGAGAGAGATTAGGCAAATTATGTACTATTTCAATTTTCGTATCGTAACACGAGGTTGGCCTCGAGGACTGTGGGGTCGTATTCATGTTCGTGGCTGGGCGCGTGCGTTCATTTCTGTGGGCTCCCTGGCTCGGGGTGTCTGTACGTCTCTGCCCACTCCAGGGTCTCGGGGGGGCGCCCTCGTCGCCGTGCTAATCCGATCATCCTCGAAGTTTTTGTCCAAGCGCAACCCTGGAGAGGCCCGGTGCCAACGTCTTCGGGAGCTGGAGGGAGGATGACGGGCAGGAGGAAGGGGAGGAAGAGCAGCAAGACTGGCAGCCCCCTTTCACGCCACCCCTATCCGCGACGCCTCTGGAGACGGGCGGCACGTGCGTGCAGTTTCGTCGTCGTCGTTGTCGTCGCGTACGTCGTCATTCTCGTTGACGATGTAGGACCGAGGTCCTGGATGTATCTCGGAGATGGAACATCTGCATGAACATAGACTTTCGGAGCTTCTCGCGGATTTCTCGGATCGGCGCTGGGCTTTTTGGCGGCGCTTCCGGCGCCGCCCCTGGCGCGCTCCGCGGGCCAGGAAGGGGCCCAGCGCCGATCCGAGAAATCCGCGCGGAGTTTCGAAAGTTCGTCTTTATGCAGTTGCTTATTCTTCTTCTGGTATCGAGGTCTTCGACGCTGTTTAAGCTTCTGGAGGCATCTGGAGACCTCTTGAAACATCTACAGACCTGGCGACACCGGTGCAGACTGGCTCAGGTGCAAGTTTGGGAAGGCAAGGGCTAGGGAGTGGAGTTTGGGGCAGGTATCGGGAAAGTGTTCGAGGCCCAGGTTGTTTCCATCAGCTGCGCCTTGTCGAGAGCGTTCCCAGGACGCTGGACTCGTCCCGAACAGTCGGCAAGGCTTGAGTTGTGACCGCAAAACAGGACGACGAGGATCTCACCGGGGAGTAGGCTCAGGGGGGAACGCAACGGCCCCCAATCGCTCATTCATCGCCGATGGGGGGCACGATAGTTCACCCCGCTCAGGAATGGGTGGCTTCGCCATCGGGGACAGATCGCCGATCCCCCCTCAGCCAGTCCCCCTATCGTTCTCCCTCACTAGCCGAGCGCGCTCAGCGTTGTCGTCGTCCTCGTCATCTGAAGTCGACGACGTTGATTTCGATGTTTTTGAGCGTTTCTGAGGTTCTCGTCGCCACGACTGGACGCAGCTCGGAAAGTGGGGAAGGGTGGACCCCGAGGGTGGACCCCGGCAGGGGTCCTGGGTATCCCTGTGAGCGGTTTGATTGGTCAGGGCTGGGGCTGTGTAGCAGATGTCGGTCGGAGTTGGGGCGAGGGAGGCAGCTTTCCGAGAAGGGTTTCTCATAAGGCATCCCGCCTCCGGAGAGGGCGTCCTGGGAGCCTCCGAGCCAGGTCGAGAGGACCGACCAGCGTGCACAACTCTCTCGAGAACCGTACTAGGCATGGTGGGCCTCCGAGGCGAAACTGCTGCGGAGGAGAGGTTGCCCCCATCCCCCCAAAACCCGCTCGTGCGCACCGCCAAGGAGAAGCACAGGGGCATGCCGCTGCACTTCTTCAACGGCCTCGGCGACAAGGTCATGCGGTGGCACTGGGTCGGGCCGTCCCTGGACAGGCTCAGAATCTCGGGCCACCACGTCGTGGCCCACGGCCCTTTTCCTGAAGTGCACCACGGGGTGGGCCGCGACTTCGAAGCGAGGTGTGTCCACACCGTGCTGGAGTCCCTTGCCCGCGATTCCGCGGAGAAACGGCGTGTTCCCTCCTTTCCTCCTCCTCCTCCTCCTCCTCCTCCTCCTCCTCCTCCTCCTCCGTCCTCCTCCGTCCTCCTCCGTCCTCCTCTCCCTCCTCGCTTTTCCACCTGAGAGCTGTGAGCTGACGGCGTGAAGTTCGATCCGATGTCGCCCTCCTTCCTAGCCATTTTGGCTCAAGCCAATTCGGCTCAAGCCCTTTTGGCTCAACGCCTCGCCCGCGCGCGACCCCCCTCGGCGAGGCGCAGCTGCGGGATGTCGGGGCCTAGAGGGCCCCCTCGACCCTTCTCGGCGCCTCCCTCGTGGAGGCTGCCGTCTGGGCCGGGGTCGCCGCCAGGGCGTCGCGGCGCACGGTCGCCGCCGTCGCGAGGTCAGCTGTCTCCCCCGCGCTGTTCGCGTGCGGGGATGTCCGTCGGCGGCGGCCGCGCCTGGCGCGGCTGCTGCCTCTGACGCCCACGCGCCGCCTGCTGCCCCGCCCGCCGCTTCGGCCGCCTGCTGCCCCGCCCGCCCCGCCACGCCGCCGCCTCGCGGAACGGCGTGCCGCGGAGGCGCTCCCTGCTGCCGGCGCAGCGGCTGCCGGCGCTTGAGCGGGCCGCGGGGCCCGGCTGTTGTTGGAAGGGGCCTGGTTCTGGTACGTCGGCTCGTGCCTGCGGCGGCCGCCGCGGGCGAGGAGCTGTCGGATTTGCGAGACGACAGCTGGGCTGGGCGGACGTCGCGCCGTCGGCGTCGCCGACGGGAGCCCGACTGCTCAGGCTCGGCCTCTTTTTTTGCCTCGGAGAGCTGCTGCTGCTGCTGCTGCTCCTTCATCTCGCGGTGCTGGCGGCGCTCCCCGTGTACTTCCCTTCATGGTCGGGGGGCCCAGGGCTGATCAGGTCCAGTCCTGGCCCCTCGCTGACTATTGGAGGACACCGTGCCGAGTTCGACAGAAAACTCCTTCCGCCTCCTCTGCCCCACTGATTACCATGATTGTCATCACGCGTCCTGGGCTCCGCGCAGACGTGGAGTTCTGCTCGTCTCCACGCCGCACCGCGCCGCCTCCCCCTGACCGGGGGGCCGTTCTGCCGGGAGCCGGCCTGCAGGCCGCTCGCTCGCTCTCGGCCCCCAAACGGCGTGGTGACCACACAGCGGTGAGTCGACGGGGATTCGGGATCGGCGCACAGTTTTGGGGTTCGGTGGTTCGGGTTGTTCTCCGAGGACGTCTCGGGCGACCCCGGCCTCCGAGGTCCCAAAACGGTGTGGTGGCGGACCACGCGGTGAGGTCTCTTGGAAGTTGGAGGTCACCGCACGTTCTGTCACGTGGTTTTGGGACCCCCGATCGTTCCCCGTTCCCTCTCCCGGGGTCTCCCTCGGGGGACGCGAAGGGCACGGCGGGTTCGCGTCGGCGCTCAGGGTTGCACGCCGCCGACTACTCAGAATCGGCCAAGATTGAGCGACTTGGCGATGGAACAAGTGCCGATCGTTCGAGGTTGAACAATCCACGAGGTTTCAGACGACTGCGCCAGGGTCGTCACGACATGAACCTGCGGTGTTCCTCGGAGTGGGGGGGTCGGCGCGAGTGCGGAAGGACCTGACCGCGGTTCGCGCGTCGCGAGGGCTCGAGGCCTCGCCGCCTGGCTCCTCCGCCCCTCCGCCCGCCTCCCAGGGCTCGATATGCCCCCCTTCGCATCCCGGTGGCCTCGCCACGTCCTCTTCCTTCTCCTTCGAGCTTCGCGTTGCGGACACCGTCGAGCGACGCTCTCCTGCTTCTCCTGCTCCTCACCTCGGCTCCTCCGCACGCGCACCGCAGCTCCTCGTCGTCGCGGCCCTGCTGTCCATGTCCGTCCCTCTCCCTCCTCAGTCAATCCCCCTCCTCACCCTTCCCCTCCTCCCTCCTGGTGTGCCCACTGTATGGTCTCGCGTCTTTTTCCCGGCGGAAGGCGGTGGAAGGCCGCGGCGGTAAAACGGGGGCAGTTCTTCAGATTGTGATCAATGAGTGATGGCCCTCCTGTGTTCCCTGGGCTGATGAATAGACCCCGCGGGGCGTGAATCAATGTTTCATCTCGCGCGCCAGGGGGTCGTCGCGGGCCGCCTAGGGGATCGTGTACCCCCGTGCATGGCAGGCCCAACACGATTGCCTTTCGTATAGGAGTTGTTGCAGGTATCACATACATCCGAGACGGAGTTTTCCCTTTCCCAGGCTGATTACTGACGTGCCACAGTCGTCTTCGTCGTCGTCATCGTCGTCCTCGTCGTCGTCGCCGTCGTCCATCGTCGTCCGTCGCCGTCCGTCGACGACGACGACGACGACTTACAGCGGCCATGCGCAGCACCCCGGTCCCCCTCCCCATGGAGCATCCGCAGTGCGTGGTCGTCCGCCGTCGCCGTCGGCGCCGCCGTCGCTGCTGCCTCTGCCGCCGCTGTCGTCGTCGTCGTCGTCACCGTCGTCGTCGTCGTCGTCGCCGACGTCGTCGACGTCGTTGTCGTCGCCGTCGTCGTCGTTGCCGTTGCCGTCGTAGGAGATGGGTGAAAAAAACGAAGGAGGAACCGTGTCCGTTTGCCTCCAGTTTCAACAGTTTTTTCCCCCTCTCGTGTAGCCATGCCTGCATGGCCTGCCAGCTTAGGCGCCTCTTCCTCCCGCCGCCTCTTTGTGTCTTGTCTGTGCCATTTCGGCCCAAACGCCCCGCTAAAGCGGAGGCGCTGTTGTCCCCCTCCGCTGAGACGGCGCCGCTTGCGTCGCGCCTGTCGCCCCCCAGCTGTCGGCCGGGTGTCGGCGTTAATATCAGGTGCTGCCGCCGCGTGTTTCCATTTGGCGGGCGCCCCCCCATGATCCGCCCGAGCAGCGAAGCGTTTTTTCCCAACCGTCCTGTGGTGTTGGGTCCTCGTTTTGAAGAGACGGTGCCCCGCGTTCCCACCTCCTTCCTCCCTCCCTCCTCCCCCCTCCTCCCCCTCCCACACCCATTCTGGCACACCCCTCACACGTTTCGTGGCCCCATAAGGAACTCCACCGAAGGCCCCAGTGGCTGCGTTCGCATGCGGTTCCGCCCCCCCATTTTGGCACACCCCTCACACGTTTCGTGGCCCCATAGGGAACTCCACCGAAGGCCCCAGTGGCTGCGCTCGCATGCGGTTCCACCCTCCATTTCGGCACACCCCTCACACGCTTCGTGGCTCCATACGGTGCTCCACCGAAGGCCCCAGTGGCTGCGCTCGCATGCGGTTCCGCCCCCATTCTGGCACACCCCTCACACGTTTCGTGGCCGGAGCTCCACCGAAGGCCCCAGTGGCTGCGTTCGCATGCGGTTCGCCCCCCATTCTGGCACACCCCTCACACGTTTCGTGGCCCCATAGGGAGCTCCACCGAAGGCCCCAGTGGCTGCGTTCGCATGCGGTTCCACCTCCCATTCTGGCACACCCCTCACACGTTTCGTGGCCCCATAGGGAGCTCCACCGAAGGCCCCAGTGGCTGCGCTCGCATGCGGTTCCACCCCCCATTTCGGCACACCCCTCACACGTTTCGTGGCTTCACAGGGAGCTCCACCGAAGGCACCAGTGGCTGCGTTCGCATGCGGTTCCACCCCCAATTCTGGCATACCCCTCACACGTTTCGTGGCCCCATAGGGAGCTCCACCGAAGGCCCCAGTGGCTGCGTTCGCATGCGGTTCCACCCCCCATTCTGGCACACCCCTCAGACGCTTTGTGGCCCCATAGGGAGCTCTACCGAAGGCCCCAGTGGCTGCGCTCGCATGCGGTTCCACCCCCCCATTCTGGCACACCCCTCACACGCTTCGTTGCCCCATAGGGACCTCCACCGAAGGCCCCAGTGGCTGCGTTCGCATGGCGGCGCCGCTCCCAATTTGGCACACCCCTCGCACGTTTCGTGGCCCCATAGGGAGCTCCACCGAAGGCCCCAATGGCTGCGTTCGCATGGCGGCGCCGCACCCAATGTCGCACACCTTTCACACGTGGCCCCATAGGGGGCTACACCGAAGGCCCCAGTGGCTGCGTTCGCATGGCGGCGCCGCACCCATTTCGGCACACCCCTCACACGTTTCGTGGCCCCAAAGGGAGCTTCACCGAAAGCACCAGTGGTTGCGTTCGCATGGCGGCGCCGCGCCCAATTTGGCACACCCCTCACACGCTTCGTGGCCCCATAGGGAACTCCACCGAAGGCCCCAGTGGTTGCGTTGGCATGGCGGCGCCGCACCCAATTTGGCACACCCCTTTCACGCTTCGTGGCCCCATAGGGAGCTCCACCGGAAGCCCCAGTGGCTGCGTTGGCATGGCGGCGCCGCACCCATTTCGGCACACCCCTCACACGTTTCGTGGCCCCATACGGAGCTCCACCGAAAGCCCCAGTGGCTGCGTTGGCATGGCGGCGCCGCACCCATATCGGCACACCCCTTACACGCTTCGTGGCCCCATAGGGAGCCCCACCGAAGCTCCCAGTGGCTGCGTTGGCATGGCGGCGCCGCGCCGAAGAAAATGTTCACTATTGCGGTACTCGCAGCTGCATATGGTTGGGTCCTTCGCCAGGCTAATTTAATCACGCGCCCCGCTTGCTGTCACTAGCTCGTGCCCAAGTGACAGTACGCGACCCCAAACGCAAACGATGTCAACATTTCGGGTTGCAGAGTTCTCGGATCGGGCTACGTTCTGTCAATCGAAACGTTTGCGAACCCCCGCGTTGGATTATTCTTCGTTTTCATCGTCCGCCGCCTTTTATGGTGTCCGCTGGCAGAAAAGCATGGGGCGAGTGCGCCCGGTGTTCCTCCCAATATGGTTGGGTACGTTATGAGTGTTGCTTTTGTTTGCGGTCGAGTCTCGAGCGAACAACGTGGCTACACGTTTCTCCGTAGGGGCTTTCTGAGCGCAGTCGCATACGTTCGACGTCGTGAGAGAATTGTCGACGATGGGACGTGGATGAAACGGAGGGACGCAGTGCACAATGGGGGTTTAAAAACATCACATGGTGTTGCTCCCCTGTCCTTCGATTCCCCCCCAATGGAGCCCACGGCGCGGTCGACCATTGCGCGTGGCTTACCAGATCCGCCCCGAAACGGGTGGAACAGGCGGGGTGTTGCTCCCGTCGACACGTCATCGGGGTTCGGAGCGGTTCTCGCTTGAACATGATCGATCTTCCACAGGCCAAGCGGTCGCCCGCAGGGATCGTCGACACGTTTCGGGTTCCATCCAACAAGGGGCGGAAAAAAGGGGTGACAGGAGGAGGGTGGCGGGAGGACGATAAGGATGTAAATGATTTGAAGAAAAATGGGGGAGGAGGGAGGGACGAGGCAGGACACTGACTGAGGGAGGGGGGGGTGGAAACGACTTGAGGGGGCGGAGGGGGAAACATCAAGAAGAGGAGGAAGAGGAATAGTAGGATGAGGTGGAGGTGAAAGAGGAGGAGGAGGAGGAGGAGGAGGAGGAGGAGGAGGAGGAAGAGAAGAGGGAGAGGAGGGGGAGGAGGAGGACTAGGAGGAGGAGGAGGAGGAGGGGGAGGAGGAGGAGGAGGAGGAGGAGAAAGAGGAGGAGGACGAGGAAGGGAAGAGGTGGGAAGAGGAGGCAGGATAAACCCTCCCTTTCGTAGAAGGTATAATTCGTAAGTGAAATGGCAACAAGTTTGACGAATCCACTTGTTTGCGATCAGAACATCAAGCGAGAAGATGGTTCTGTAGCTGTGAACCGGGATTGAGTGTTCCCCTGCTTCGACCGCGGCTCCCCAATACAGAGTTGACTGCTGTCGACCCGAACCAGGTCGAGTGGGAAGTGAAATGGGGCAGGCCGTTTCGGAAGCCTGGAGGATCTTCTCACCAGGCGGCGGGGCTTCTCAGAAACCCTCCGGCCTCCTGAGAAGCTGGCTGTGGCGCCAGAGAAAGTTCGGCAAGTTTATCAGAAGGCTAGGGGTATTGCAGGCTTTCTGAGAAGGGTCCCCTCTGCCTTTCCTCGCGCGCGCCGCCGATTTGGGGAGGATACACGCTCCCCCCGCGAAAGAGAAGAAGGCGTCGTGTGTCCAGAAGCACACACGTGAACAAAGTTCTATTCAATCACATCCGCTGCCTCGAGTCGAGGCAAGGCGGGCCGAAACGAGAAACGCGAGGGGAACGGAGCGAGGCGGCCGAGGAGGCGCGGAGGGAGGGGACGAGGAACGGAGGGAGACAGAGAAGAAGGAGCCAGGGCGGCGGACTGGCGAAAGCCAGAAGCAGCGACGCATCAGCGAGACTGGTTGTAGCTCCGCGCTGCTCGCCTCCACGTGGTCGCTGACACGGCGGCTATGCTTGACTAGTCTAAGCCATTATGTACACATGCGCGAAGAGCGTGTCAGTATAGCTTTCTGGTCCGCACCGCACGGGGCCAGCCTTGACCGCGACGCGCGGGCGGGTCGTGAAGTTCAACAGTCGAATGTTTGAACACGATTTTCCGCTCATGATGGCCATCGCTCATCCGCGAGATGCTCCCGAACAGAGCTGACTGGCGTTATAATAGCACGCTGCTCAGCTTGCTTTGCCTCGCTCGGCTGGGGACAGTATGGTTGGTAACCCCGCGGGATGTGTAACATCTTTTTCAGATAATGTGATTGAAACGCATCTAATTGAAACACCTTTGCCGTTTTCAGCCAAATGGGGTGGACGGTGGACGTCCGCTTCGAGACCACGCACGCATTGAAGATCTTGATCTTTTTCGCGAACGGGAGGCAAGAGTGAGACCGCACCTTGGCCATCTTGTCGAACTCGGCCCTTTCAGCCCCCAGCCGCCTTGCGAGCTCTGCGTCGGAGGCTTCGGGAAGACAGCACGCTGCCGAGGTAGACATGCTGTCCCTGCGCGTGTCCGTGCTCCTATCTGGTTTTTCGATGTTTGTATCTCCGCCTACTCACAACAGCTGTAGCTTGTGCCGATTCGATTATACGTCAGCCCGTAATTGGCTCCGGCAGTTGCGATGGCCCGCATGTACTCGGAGGCCCGGCCCTGGTCTGCAGTCGCAATTAAGGTGTCGTCCGCGTAGACGAGGTCTCTGACGTTCGATTAATCCTGCCCCCTCGTGCGCCTAGTGTCCGTTATTGGCACGGTCATCAGCATGGCGAACAGGAAAGGTGATGAAGCATAGCTTTGGCATATACCTGCGCTTTGATCCCGCATGGCTGACGTCAGCCCTGGGTTTTGGTCCCGCATGGCTGACGTCTGCCTTGTGCCGTGGACCGCAAAACGCCGGTCGGTGTAAATCGCGCCCACCGCGTCGAGCATCTGATCTGGCAAGCCAAAGCATCGCACCGCACGTGGGAGTGCCGCCGGGTCCACGCTATCAAACTCCTTCGCCCAGACCAGAGCAAGGAAGATCTGCTTTGCGCCATTTGAATCCCAGGCTCCATCCAGCAGCCGTCCGGCTATAAACATGGCATCAGTGGTGCCGCATTTGGACTTGAAATCCGAATTGCGTGGGCCACATCGGCGCCTGCGTCTTTCAAACGCTGGAGGAGTATAGAGGCATACAGCTTGTACCCATACTGTAGGAGGAAATTTGGTGTTGGTTGTCGCACAACGACTCGTCCCCCTTCTTGCAAATGGCCGCCACCAGCGACTCGTGCCACGCTTCGGGCACAACCCCCTCCTTCCTGCATTTCTGGCGCAAGGCTGCGGCCCACTGGGCTGCGGGAGACCTGGGCGACGCCATGGCCGTCAGGATTCTCCCGGAGCCGAATCAGATACACAAGCTTTGCCCCATTCCATCCGTTTAGCTGCTGACGCAATCTCGCCTTCAGTGATAGGCCCAAGATGGACAAGCACAGTTGGCCCCAGGGGCTTGATTCGCAAGGCCGCGGTCTCGCGGGCAGCCCACTGCACTTCGTAAACCTTTTCCCACAGTTGAGGCGCGCGACTCCGAGTCCACAATGCGGCCCTGCCGGTTCCGAAGCCATTATTGCGAGGGGCAGAGTCCTTTCCGTAGCCGTCGCACTTGCTCCCAATCGTCCATCGCCAGGAGGCCCTCCATCCACTCCAATGTGTCATTCTTGACCGATTTCTTCACAGCCGCGTTGAGGCGCCTCTTCGTCGTAGTTTCGGACCTGGCACGAACTGGTGCGCTGCTGGATGAGCTCGAGTGTTTGGGCTGTGATCCATGGCTTGGCTGGCTGCTGCGGCACAATTTGCAGAGTTTGTTGCGTCACTCTGTGGAAAGCTGCCCCCATAGCTGCTTCGAGGTCGTTTACCGAAGCGTTCGCATCATCGCTGAACTCAGCCACTCCGTCGGTGAAAACTCTAGCGAAGCTGGCTGCGACTGGAGGCGAACGGAGCTGACGGACGTCAAGTGGCGGAGTTTGGGCTGTGGCCTCGGGCTTCGGCAGGACGACCTCGATGCCTGCCAAGAGGAGAACATCATGCGAGGACAATGCTGTACTCCTATCGCTCCAAGCCTTTGAAGTAGACACGCCCATTCTGACGAGACCGCTGCAACATCGATCTGGCCGAAACTGTCGGGGATGACCTCGTCGCCAGGGCACTTCCCGACATTGTAGGACGTGATCAACCGCTCGGGCGGTTCGTCGGGAAAGGTATTTCCGAACACACAAGATGTAGCCTGGTAGAGAGCTCGGCTAATAGACTCCTGATGGAAGCGTACTGAGCTTACGGGCTGCGGAAAACACGGTCCCATTCTAGACTGTTCAGCGGGATGCCGTCGGTTGAGGCGAGCATTGAAAGCGCCTCACACACAGAGAGGTCCATGGCGATAGATCCACCCAGCCAAGACTCCAAGCTAATCATAAAAGCGACGACGTTCCTCCAGAGGTTGGTCGTAGATGCTGCATTAAAATAGCTATCCCTCCAGACAGCCTCTTCATGACGGAAGTCATCCGTGACGATTTTTGCAGAAATTTACCACTCTCCGGGCACGCGGTGATATCATGAAGTTGTTTCCCCATTGTCTCGCTTGCGGCGTCCTCCAGGGTGCCGGAGAGAACGAGTAAGTATCTAGCCTCCCGTGCCATGGCTATGGTATGCCATGTGAAGCCAATCATATGCGTTTCTTGTCAGCAGAGGGTGCCAATGTGAGAGACATGTTCATGCGCCCCTCCAGCTCAATCCGGTTTGCTTCCGTCAGGCCCTCAACGTTCCACGAGGCAGCGCGCGCGCGGCGCTCGCAAGCAAGAGGACGCCCACCACGGAACAGTCGAGCCTCGGCAGCAGAGCCGGTTGTACGGAGAGCATGACCAGACGTTTGATGATGAATGTTTGAATTACTGCAGAGGTATAAGCAGTATCGGGTATTGTGGGTGAAATGGATGAAGAATTGTTCACGTGCCGTGCGTTTTTGGGCTGGTTGCCACTTGGCGTCGCTTTTGGCCGTGCCCCTCATGCGGGAGAACGGTCTGTTTAACAACTCCTCGCGCTTGCACCCGAGTTCTTTGATGAGACTGCGGTCGCGGAGCGCTTCCCAGGTCGCCCTTTCATTCTGCCACACGTACTGCACGTGAGGACGTGTTCTTCGCCGACCTTGAATACTTGATGGCGCAGGGTACCTGCCACTCCGACCAGAGCGCGCGCTTCAGGCCGAAGCAGGAGTTGCGAGCAGCCTGTTCTGCGAGAGAACGGTCTTGACAAAGTAGCTCATGCGCGTTTCGCCCCGAGTTGCAAGCGTGCATAACTGAGCAACTCCACCGCAAAAGTACGATCGACGGTGCTCCCGAATTCTGCAAAGATGAAGCCTTTCAACGGTCCCTTGCTGTAGACCTTCCTCTGGAGCGGCGCGTAGAGCGAGGCGAGCTTTTCCTCAAGCCACTCCGCGGCTATCTCGAGGTCCTTGAGGGCATCCAAGTCCCCGACGATTGCAGTGATTGCATGATTGTCCTTGGAGGCCCCGCCTGACTGCTGCTCCGCCCTGGTCTTCATATATATATATATATGCTTCGATGCCTTCCCGGATCTTCCCCTCCAGGTTGGCGAGGAAAGAGCTATTCTTCATCAAGTCGTCGCAGATGGTCTCCAAGTTCTCCACCCGCACATCCGCCATGCATAAGTGAATTTCTAAGGGCTCCATGCGGTCGGACACCTTCGAGTTGAGGCCCTTGAGCTTTATCATAGCCGCTGCCATCGGCTACAGCTGGTTCTTGAGCAGCATCGCAGTGCCCGTCACGTTGACCGGCTCCTGGCCCCCGAAGTCGGGTTGTCCGACGTTGGTCTCCCCATCGTCGTTGCCTTCGCCGAAGAGCTTGCATCCGTCCTGACGGGTATCGGCCAAGAGCGGGGTGAATGGAGATGATGGCGCGCGGCCACCCCGCGCCTTATTCGTTTCCTTCATCTTCTCACACGGGCTGCCGAAGAGGTACGCCACTGGAATGCCCGCCTGCCGCAAGATGGGGAGGCGGCTTGACGGCTCGATGGTTTGAGCGACAATGTCTCGAGCCAAACTACCTTGTGACGTACCCAACCCATTTGTATCAATGGAAACGAGGAGTTGGCCGAAACTTGCATGGACAATCAACTTGATGTGTAAGCTACTCGGTACACGCGCCTACGGCGCGATGCGCAGGATAACCATGCAAGAACGAGGGGCGACAGCTACAGGCTCGAAGAGGACATGGGGAGTCGGGAACGCAGGGCAGGAGAAAAACGCGCGGGGGGGCGACCCATCCGCACGGCATCAGCAGAGGGAAGGTGACTGCAGGAGGAGAACAAGGACGAAAGCGGCGTCTAATTTGGGTCTGCGGTGGGTACCCACTGTGCTGTGCCCCGCAGCAGCCCTCGAAAGTGGCGACAGTTTCACAGATCGCAGCCCCCCAGGGATGGCGAGGTCTAATTTGAGTCTGCGGTGGGTACCCACTGTGCTGTGGCCCCCAGCAGCCCTCGAAAAGTGGCGACAGTTTCACAGATCGCAGCCCCGCAGGGATGGCGAGGTCTAATTTGAGTCTGCGGTGGGTACCCACTGTGCTGGCCCCCCCAGCAGGCCTCGGATGTGGCGACAGTTTCACAGATCGCAGTCCCCCAGGGATGGCGAGTTTTAGTTTGGGTTTGCGGTGGGCACCGATTTTGCTGCGCGCTTCAGCAGCCCTCGAAAGTGGCGACAGTTTCACAGATCGCAGCCCCCAGGGATGGCGAGGTCTAATTTGAGTGTGCGGTGGGTACCCACTGTGCCCAGACCCCCCCCCACCCCCCCCAGCAGGCTTCGAAAGTGGCGACAGTTTCACAGATCGCAGCCCCCCAGGGATGGCGAGGTCTAATTTGAGTCCGCGGTGGGTACCCACTGTGCTGGGCCCCCCAGCAGGCCTCGAAAGTGGCGACAGTTTCACAGATCGCAGCCCCCCAGGGACGGCGAGGTCTAATTTGAGTCCGCGGTGGGTACCCACTGTGTTGGGCCCCCCCAGCAGGACTCGAAAGCGGCGACAGCTTCACAGATCGCAGCCCCCCAGGGATGGCGAGGTCTAATTTGAGTCTGCGGCGGTACCCACTGTGCTGGGCCCCACAGCAGGCTTGGAAAGTGGCGACAGTTTCACAGATCGCAGCCCCCCAGGGATGGCGAGGTCTAATTTGAGCCCGCGGTGGGTACCCACTGTGCTGGGCCCCCCAGCAGGCTTCGAAAATGGCGACAGTTTCACAAATCGCAGCCCCCCAGGGACGGCGAGGTCTACCTTGAATCTGCGGTGGGTACCCACTGTGCTGGGCCCCCCCCAGCAGGCTTGGAAAGTGGCGACAGTTTCACAGACCGCAGCCCCCCCAGGGATGGCGAGGTCTAATTTGAGTCCGCGGTAGGTACCCACTGTGCTGGCCCCCCCAGCTGTGAATAGAACCCGTGTAATACCCTCATATATACTCCTTATCCTCACCTCTCCTGCGCCTGGCCGTTTGGGCTCAGGTATCGGGACAGATCGATCAGACCTTTGATCGTGCAGGAGGGAAAGACATCCATCTATCCCTCCTTCCCTCTACCAACGGATCAGGGGTTCTGTACCCTTGTACTTCAACCCCATACACAGGTTATCAGCCCTTTAAAGTTCACTGTTCATCGAACCCCGCGTCGCGACCTCGCACGCGGCCTCGATGGAGCCCAAGCGGCGCATGCGCCGTAAGGGGTCCATCGGGGCCTCGCGTCCGAGCTCTCCGACGGCGCGACGGCTCGGTGATGAGTTGGAGAGCCTTAGTGCGGACTGTGTTGGTGTCCCAGGTACCCCCCCCCCCCAGCTCCGACGGACCCGAGGCGCGGCTAGCTGCTGAACTTCACCGCAGCGCAGCCCGCGGGGGGACAGGAGAAGGAGTAGGAACAGGAAGGAAGGAGTTTCACACGCCTACCTTCGATCCTCCATCTCCTCCTCAGTCGGGAGCAATCCCAACTGCGTCAGGCGAAAGCGTCACTGGTCCTGATACTCCAGGGCGCTTTCGCGCTAACCGCCGATGGACCTCAGGTGCTGGAGCCCCCAGCCCTGCGACCGTTCCTGTTGCGGAGCATGTGGCCACCTTCGAGGAACTCAGTAGATCAGTGGCGGCGCAGCCGCAGACGCAGTATCCTAAGGTATCATCGGATGAGACACCACACACATGGTCCGAGTCGCAGCTCGTCCGCGCGCAACCGTCGTGGGGCCCCGGGCCCATGCGGCGAGAGTAGGTCGAGCCCGCGCACTGCTTCTCAGAGGCCATGCACTCCCCGCGGCAGGGGGCACAGGGAAGCTGACGCTCCCCACCTCTCCATCTCAGACGACCAGCTGGCGGAAACGTCCGCCGCAGGTGAAATAGCTGAGCTCAGAGACCAGGTTGAGACCTTCGTGTCCAGGCAATACTCTGGACTACTGCAGAGCGTTCAGACGAACGCCGCCGATACTGCAGCCATGCGCCACGATCTTGACGGCGCCTTAGGGATCATCGATTCCAGGATTGCCGAGGATCGACGCATCATAGGTGAACTGCAGTACCAGGTTGATCGGGAGGTGTCATACTCAGGTGAACGAACGGCGATGGTCGAGAATCTGCGCCACTACCTAGCGCAGATGGAGCAACAGCTTGTGCTCGTACGCGACACAGGCGTTTCAGCAGTCAGGATCCTCCACGATGAGATCCACGACCAGCTCCGCAACCGACCACCACCAGCCGAGGCCACCGACCTTGGCGACGTTCAGTCTCAGATCAATGATCTTCGATCCCACATAGACCACACTACGGCGACGCTTCGCAACGAAGCACACACCAACTCGTCGAACCTGATCGACATGTTGCAACGTACTGAGAGAGTCATCACTCAAAGGCTTGATGCGACCAACGCTGTCGTGCAGCCACTCGCTAACCGGATCTCTGACATCGAGCAGCGTTTTCCTGGCGTACAGGACGCCCTGGCAGAGTTGCGTGTCGGACGAGCCCAGACTGATCAGCTGGATTCTCCTCCCACGGTTTACGATTTCGCCCGCCTCACTGACAGGTTGCAGGAGGTTGAGAAGGCGGCGGACCACACGCAGTTGGAGCTCTCCCAGGTTATTCGTGAGAGAGATGCTGAGCAAGTACGTGTTGAGGGGCACCTCGCACGTCTGGAACGCGAGCTGGAGGCACAAAGCGCCCGTCTCCGAGCATACGAGCAACGACTTGATCGGTGCTCGCAACGTTCTCGGGATATTGATGAGTACGCACGCCAAAAGGTGGCCCAAATACACGAAGACATGACGAGCTGGACGAATCAGCTGATCGACCACACCAACGACACCGGTCTCCACCTTCGACCTGCAACCGACCTGCACAGGCCGACGGCAGCGTCCGCTGAAGCACCACAAGCTTCTGCAGGACAACAACGACGTACGTCACCAGGAGCAGCCTCCGCGGCAGCTTCTGCACAGACACGCCATGTGTCTCCGGTGCGCACAGAACCGACTACTGACGGTGTACCGATACCCTCACAACCACTGTCTGCGGTTTCGGTCCATACTACAACTCCTATCAAGGAGTCAGACACCGTCCGAGTCCCTGTCTTGCCTAAGATTACGCAGCTGCTCGAGTGGCAGCAAAAGATACGGAAGAACTTTGGGGCCGCCTCAGGGCGACCATCCAAAGCATATGCCTTTCTATGCGTGGCTGAACAGCCCGAGTGTACCTTCGAAGACTTACAAGACAGTGGAGACTTTGAGAGCATCGATTGCAAACTCGCTACCGCTCTGAGCGACATTTTATCCTCCGACTTGCGCTACCAAATCAGGCTCATCGAAACCAGAGAGCACAAAGCAGGACGCATGCTCAAAGGACGCCAGATCTATTGGCACATCCTACAGTCCTACAAAGTGACAGAGGTTGATGACGACCTGCATGACTTCGAGCGTCTTAAAGAACTCAGGATGAGATATGAAGATTTGCAACGTTTCATTACCGACTGGGACGCCTTATTATTGGAGTGCCGCGAAGCACCCGACCAAAATATCTTAGAATCTCTGTTTCGTACACAGATTCGGAGACATGCCTGGATGAAACAAGACATGTACGAGTACCAGCGCATGAAGATCAGCGACCC